CTGTCATCGTGACAACACTAATTTGCAAATCTGTGACAAATTCCATGCTGTGCATTCTACCCATTCACTTTTCAAATATGTTTTATTTTCATTTTAAGAATATATGGATCAGCTACATGTAAACTATGTTGTATGTAATATGCCCTCTGCCCAAATTCTACGACCTACCTGATATCAAACGGAGCCTGACGGGCACATTTTTGGCAGGTTCTCCAAAATTTTGATTTTGGCTTGCCACTCCATTACTGATATCAACAAACGGTTTATTGTCGCTGTGGACAACTATTATGCTTGTTGCTTTCACTGTCCGAAGGGAAGGGACTGTACACACCCTTATCACTCATCTAAAACGTATTTTAGTTATTCTACTTCATTAGAAATAATTCTTGGACATTGGAGTTCTATTATGAACATTTATCTATGATCTATCGGTTTAACCTGTAGTGGCGCTTTTGCACTTCCAACATTTTGATAACAATCGTTAAGATACAACAATATCCATTGTAGTATTCAACAGACACATGCTGCTTTGAACTCTGTCGGGTTGGTGATGCAATGCATCAACCTTTGGAAAGCGACTAATAAACATCGCCTCCGTTATAATCGAGGTATGTCGTTTGACATTTATGGTTACTTTTCGTTTCTGTATAAAGAGGATTCCCATGTCTGAGTTGTCATTGAAGGCAACACATTTCCTCCAACACATCAGCTGTGTCGATCAGGGGATAATGAATGGCCAATGCATTTACGCCACATCTATTTACTTGAATCTCTCCCAAAAGCAGGGCGAAATTTATGGTCAATCCAAGTACCACAATACTATAAGTGAAAGGTTTATAATGAATAAGCTTCCATTAATGGTACCATTGATTGGATTGAAACTGTTCCCAACATCTCTGAAAACAGTTTAATGTACACGTCGTTGTGATGCAGGTTGAAGCATCTACTGAATTAATACCAACCTGCTCGAACAATTCCTGTGGCAGACACCGGTTGAGGGAGCGCAACATCCTGTCCTAGCGTCCAGTTTAATGTCTAATTTCACTTCTACTTCGTGTAGACAGACTTCAGGTTCAGAAGCCTGTTCATACATTGTAGGTTTTTTCATTGTAAGTTTGTGATTAGAAGGCCAAGATGTGATATGCACAGAGCTCACACTGTCTTCATGAAGACATATCTGCTAATCAGTGAGATAGAACTGTTACCCCTAAGGGACATTAGCAAGTCCGTCTGATTACTTGTTGCAGCCAGTATCGGACAAACAAAAGCATTATCACAATGTCTGTGTTCAAAACGTCTTAGAGGAGTCAGTTGCATATACAAAATACTCATCTATTGTAATGGTCGTTAATCTCCTGATGCTTACCGTTGTCCATATGAAGCACAGTTCTAGTTTGGTGGGGCATTTTAACCACAAGTCTTGTTCTGTCAGAAGGTCAGTCCAGGTGAATAAGACTTACACTCTACTATGATCGGGCTCGGAGTAAATTATGGAAAAGGTTGAAAAACATTTCTTCTTAAGAATTCAAACACTTCCGGTATATGAGCAACACACTGCATGACACCGGCGCCTGTTTAACACCATGGAAATATCACATTGAAAACAATACCTTGAGTAAATATAGTTCTCGTATCAATGAACATAAATATTTCACAAGAGGCAATCTTGTGGATTAGCTTGTGCTTAGAATGCCAAAATATGATATGCACAGAGCTCACGCTGTCTTTATGAAGACATATTTGCTGATCAGTGCGATAGAACCGTTACCCATAAGGGACATTAGCAAGGCCGTCTGAATTGCTGGTTGATTGTTGCAGCCTGTGTGGGACAAACACAAGCATCATCTGTGTTCAAAAATAATTTGCCTTAAAAAGGAGTCTGGTGCCTCTCATCTATGTTTATTGCCATTATCTCATGGTGCCTACCCATGTCCATTTTGATGTTGGACATAAACTGATCACCATCTTGGGAAAAGCCACGTGATGTGCCATGGGCATTATCTGACTTCGATGCAGACATTTTTACAGTTTCGTAATATTGGTTTGATATACAACATGACATATGTTATATAATCCAATGTCTATAGATCCTTCCTATTGGCTAGCCACTGGATATCATACTTTCAACATGAAGGCGACCCTGCAATAAATGGGAACTTATTTGTACCGGACAACAAATATTAACACAAATAAGAACAAAACAATTTTGACAACAATAGATGGTTTAAAGGACAGCTTGTCCCGGAAGTCTTTTAACCTCAGGAAAAGCTCTGTGGAGTCTTGCTGTTGCATTTAGGAATCCTTTACAATTGATATTCTTGACTCAACTGATCCTTACAACGATATCTCCTGAGAAAAACGCGCACTCTTCCTTCTCATCAATAACATAATTCTTCTCGACTTCGTGCAGTGGTTGCAACGTCGAATGTTCAGAGCACGTTGGCATCATTCCACTAAACTTTCTGTTAGCCTGGTTACTTTCAATATATGTGCAAGAGACTAACAGCTATGGGTATAGGAAAGTGCTAAGTTAGTTTACATTTGGGAAGCCAACACTTACCTTCGAATATTCTATTGCTTATACATTTGAAAGAACACGAAATCAGGTCCTTGTTTATGTCGTTTTCCTTTTATGGAAAAACATACTGCACATGAAAATGCCACATCACTGTGAGATGTTAAAACATTTCAGATTCAATGTCTTGTAGATGGAATGTATTAGCACTCTACGGTTCCTTCAATAATAACATGCTGATGATGTTCTGCTTTTAGCAAATATTCATGATAAGTGTTTCCATAAAAGTAGTACTCGGCAATCGCACATTTCAGGAACCACAACAGTTTCAATTTTCTATCGGAACACCATCTAATGTAAGTGGTTTAAATATAGGAACATGTTGTAAAACGCACACTTGTCATCTCAGGTTTACATGTATTTCACTGCTTGTGGTTGCCTTCGTAAGCTATTGAAGTAAGGCCCACGGTATCGTGAATTGTCTACTTACCAGCTGGGATAACATCTTCTAATAAATTATGGATGCTGTCGAACCATATGCCATTAAATTGGCCATTAGCGAAGATGAACCAGTTTAACGTCTTCCAGAATCAGTGAGTAATGTTGCAGCCGTCAGATTGCACACACAAAAAAAGACCGAAACTGAATTGGAATACATGTTAACCCATTCTGTCCGCACCAGCTGTCATGAATGGGAAACTTTTGTCTGTACTCCACATTGTATCCAAAATGCCTCCACGGCAATACATTCCCTTGGCTCCAAACTGGTGAACAATAGGAACAGCAGGTTCTGAGTCTGGTCTCGGGGGACCAGAATGAGGTAGCACTGTTCTTTGGTAAGGGGGAAGGTGTGATTTCTCGACTTTTCGCGTTCCACGGACAAGCGTGTGTGACGAGGTTCACATTAAGCGACCACCCGTATCTTTAATTGCTCATTTCATGTTTTCCCCCCTTTCAGGCACTAACTAATGGACCCCTTGGGCGTTTGTTGTGTAGAAACTCTTAGAAACGGCTGTCTTAATACTTATGTAAATACAATGCTTGTGACTGGTGTGGATTTATGTTTGTTAGAAGACACAGTCGATAGCGTTGGCGAGCCAATTGAGCAGAGCGGCGCTCTAGGAGCCTTGTGGTTAAAGTGTTCGCTTGTCAAGCCGAAGACCCGAGGTCGACTCCTCCCATAGGTACAATGTGTGAAGCCCATTTCTGGTGTCTCCCGAAGTGATATTTCTGGAATATTTCTAAGGGACATGAAACTATATTCACTCACGCTTGAGGCAGAAGACTAGAGGAGATGAGGTTTCCTACCCTGAGACGACCCTTCCGCTGAAAAATGTAATATTCTGATGGTAAAAAGTTGAACAGCACAGTGATTCGTCAGTCTGTATGATACGCCGCCAAGTTCATCGGTCCCAGTTTAGGCGTTGCTGTGCCCAAACCAAAAGGTCCGGCATGGAGGAAGACGAAGAAGGAAGGCGAAGGCCTTTCAGTAGCAGGCGTGCTCTTAGTCTACCAGCTGTGTTTGTTCATCAGTTCCCTCGAGACATTTGTGCATGTTGCTTGATGCGATTGTTACCACAACTGATTAGCTAAATTTGTGTCACCTGTTTCTCGAATTTTCTTGAGCAGACACACATAAATCGAGTGACATGTTAAAAAGCGATCCTGCAATCCTTTTCTTACACACCATAAAATCGCATTATAAAACTTTAGGGTCAAATAGAATCAAATTTCACATTTTCTCATCATAGTGGCGCAATGATGCACAACAAAACGTTTATGAGTTTAGTTTTACGCCGCACTGAATATGATGAATGAGTGACGTCACAGGGCTCACTGGATACAACTCATCCCCAAGGTGACCCTCCACAAAAAATGTTTCTGACATATGTCTGCTTCATCAAGATGTTATCGATGATCCAAACTAGACCAGATCAAAGATCATGCTGTTTCATCAAACACTCTAAAACGACGATGTTGCAACGTAGATATAGATGAGTATCCATCTTGCAAGCACAAAATAATTGAGAGTGTGATGTCATTGTAATCGTTTGGGACATTTGCTGGTGTTACTCATTAAGTTTCGATATAGTTGTCTACCCTTCCTCGCCACAGCCGTCTAGTTTTTCCGGAGCCCAAAACTGCCACCTGGGATGTTACTGATGTTACGGTGTTGCGAAGATGAAATGTAAGTTGTGTGCATGTTTCGAAGGCATGATGTTGGCATATTATGCGTAGGAAGAATATTTTAAGTGACTTTTGTCTACCTTGCCAGTAGATGTGGGATTGATTCCAAAAGGCAAGTGTCGCCATTTGCACGCATGAACCCTTGCAAACGTTTCATGTTGTACATTATTTCAGCGAGTTTGGTTCTGATTGTTCTGGTTCTGAGTGAATTTGGGGGCAGGAAATCTTTAGCGACAGAATTGTCATGTTTGTCAGTGAAAAATGTCAACATCGTCAGTTCATCAATGTAACCACGAGGCAAATCGATCTTACAACGGACAGGAAGTGACGTTATCGTGTCAGGTATTTTTGTAAGACGATACATGATACTTGTGGCATCTCTCCAGTAAAGTACTGTTCAAAGGGAACCGCGCTGGCGATATTTACACAAATGTTTACACAGGTATCTCAAGCCAGAATACATGACAAAAATCTAAAGTGGCAAGCAATAAAGGGAAAAACAACAGCTAGATTCGTGATGATATATATATACTCTAATTCTATTTTATGTAAAAATACCTGTTCATGTTACAACCGCGAAAATGGCATAAATGTGTGCACTCGATTGAAGCACGACTAACTCTTCAGTGCATTTTAATCAGGAAAGTAGTCCGTGATAATCTGACCTAAAGGTCATCACCAATGAGTAGCCAATCACGGGCCTGGATATTGATCTCACACAGAAGTTTGATACCAAGTTTCTCACATGGGTTTCACACCCCGGGTGTGTAAGAAATAGTGTGTCTATCCAACGCTGAAACACACTTTAGACCATGTTAGGGTGGTATCACACGGACTGCACAAATGGCGATCCAAATGCTGTTTCCATTCATTTATGAGACTCATCATCTACCTGGACACATTATCATTGCATTTTAACCCTATCACATTTATTAAATGTTTTCAGTGGCGTTTAGTATCGCATTTAGCATAATTATATCAATAATTCTATGATGCCTAGCGGTTAGAACAATCGAAAAAAAAATACATTATCAGACAATAAAGGTATAGTTTTTTGATGACGTAACAATTGAATGACGTTATCCCATCACTGCGCCATTCTAGTGTGCCCCCTCGTAATCGAACCATTTTACATTACGTCACAATGTAAGCGACGTCACGATGCATGTCAGTTGTCATCGCCTCGTACGGCCTCCTACAGTAAACTACACCGTTGCATCCAGTTTCTTGATTTGCCGTTGCTTCACGCAGCTAACATCACTGGTGGAAACATTACGTTTATGTTTTACGACGGTTAAAATGTGTCATTTCGACTCACAAGTTTTCAGCGACACGGTAACGTTCGTAATGTTTACTTTCCCACAATGCAATTGCGGAATGTCGCTTGACTACTCAACTTCCTCTGGATGTACTGATCTAAACTTACGCTGGTAGTAGAAATGCAACGTTCATATTGCCCCATATGGTTTACGTTCATGACAGATGTAATCAAAATAGTTCAGAGAAGATATTTAATCCGAACTCAAACCGTCATCAAACTGTTATCATTTGTTTTTTTTTCTGGTAACGTTCGTCTTAACGTAGGGGGCAGACACATCAATAGAACAGCGCGCCAGTTAGCCCTGTGCGAGGATTCTTAATTTAGGTCACCGACACCGTCGTTTGTTTTCTGCCTTAAATTAAGCGTAATTATCTTTAGAAAGTATTAAATTTGGCATCTTAGAAAAGAAATACACTTCGCCCTACCACCATGTATAGTGTAATAAAACACACTTTCGCCCTGAACTATTATAACGTTAAAGCACTCGGACGCAAGCGTCCTCGTGCTTTAACTATAATAGTTCAGGGCAAAAGTGTGTTTTATTACACTATACATGGTGGTAGAGCGAAGTGTATTTCTTAATCATTTCACCTAAGAAATTCCTGACCCGGACAGAAGTTAGTGTTGCAGAGATGGTGCCCCGACAAATGTTAAAGATTAGCCTGCTGAACATAAAAAGTTATTTACGTAACAGGTAGCAATATGTATATTGATCTATTTAGACTGGCATCTTTGTAGCTTATACGTGCGTAGATTTGCAATACACTCTTTGCATTTAAATAGGTTGCGTTTTGTAATGGAACTAACGACTTACAGGTGTATGTATTCGCCTGTTTGCATGTACTCAGTCAAGCATCGTGCTTTAGCTTGCTTTTTTATAATTTGCATCATGTTAGAAACTATCGCTTTTTATCATTGTCAATGTGCTATATTTTTTTAATCAGCGTGTGTGTTCTCATACCCCCTTTATAATATCTTATTGACAATTTACACGTCAGACACGCTCTCGTTTTGAGCAAAAGCGGCGCAGTTAAGCACTTTGTCACTGGGGACGTCACAATGATGAAGAGAGAGGACGACGTAGTAAGGCAATCAGCAAACAGTAGGGTATTACAAGGGCGACAATCTGTCTTTTGTTATTCTCCCATTTGAGAACATTTAAAGGACTGCCATCATTTCTTCCCAATGAAGGAACAAGCGAAACTTTCCGATAGTCATTATTTCTGCTCGTTTATTGTTACATATTTTGTTTAATAGGTGAAAGGGCAAAACAATTAATATTTCTGGTCCCATTCAGTTTCAAGGAGATCGGTCTATCATACTCGCCTTATCTCACTGAAGAAAAATTTGCTAATCAATGAGAAAAGGGTTACAACTAAGGAGCGTAGCAAAGCCGTCTGCATTGCTAATTGATTATTACAACCGGGATGGGACAAGCGAAATCATTATGAGTCTTGAAAGGTTAGACCCTGTCTGAAAGGACTTGGATGCCTCCCACAAATTTCTCATCTACACTAAGGGCCTTTGTCTCATGGTGATTAGAAATTGGTGTAAACATAAACTTGTCTGCATCTTTGCACATGTCATACCCTTTCTCATATAGTAACAGAGCCAATAAGTAACTTTCTCTCAGACACACAGGCGCTTTGTTCACCACAAATAACTCAAGTCACATAGTTCATCATATTGCGTTGGTTCAATATACAATATGGCATATAATGTAAAAGACAAATGTCCATCAAATATCCCTGGAGGCCTAAGCTGCATTTGGTAATGGGATCTGAACCAATAACGTGCAGAGAGTTATGAGTTAAGCTCATGGATTTCCACCTTTGGAGACGTTTGTGACAAGGCCTGTCTACATGTTGACGATGCATTCAAAATTAACACCAGTACATAATGACTAATGGCTAGTCAGTAAAATGTACATTTAAAAGGTCGTGCAAAAGCAACTCGTTCTCTCATGATCGACAGTACAAATACAGCTGTGACATAAATGTATTGCCATGAACGACAGTTTGGCTTCTTTGGCGAAGTTAACACGAACATGCTCTTTAAGCAATCCTTCCAAGTGTACGAAATTAGATATAAATGTCAAGAGACAGAACTCGATGACGGCATCGTTGTCGGATAGTTTAAATGATCTGCCAACTTCCAAATAGTTAATGTATTGTTTGAATTGTGTCTTCCGAATACTATGACTAGTCAGGGAGCTTAGGGCTATTTTCAGGGCATTTGGTTCAGATTCTTCCAAAAGCACCAAATTTGGCACAGAGGTAGCTTGAGGCATACTTATTCGATTCCAGACAGGCGCCAAAATGGCCGCCCCCTGTGGCGGCCATAGTTGACAAAAACAAAATGGCCGCCACCCCGATTTAAGAATTTTTTTTCCTACGGTTGTATATGGTCATGTCACATATCAAATGAAAAGAGCTTTGCAATGATGTATAAATCAATTTACTGTAACTATTGTGACAAAATTTGTTACCAATAAATGCAATTCAGTGTTCGGTTTTAAGAGGTATCATATTGTAAGTGACTTAAAATGGAATTATGTAGAAATAATATTTATGTTTTAATCCTAAGATGTTTAACCTATAAAAAATATCCAGTCAGTAGTGAATCAGAGTACACCAGAAATAACAATAGTATACACAGAATGTATATATTGTACTTGCAAATGACTGTCAGTGATAGATATAGTAACTATTTTACCTAGTTACTGTCAGTTACTGTGCATCCTCCTTCGCATTGGCAGAGGACTTTACATCGTACACCAGCACGGTTGCAGTTACACCTTCCCACACAGCCCTTTTTGCAACCACAGTGTAGGAGGATAGAACATGCTGCTGAAGCATCACTGAGGGTGGTCCATAGAGATAGCCAGTTATTACTGTCGTCTTTTTGCCAACCCCAATCACTGAAGTCAGGGATTTCCTGGGTGGCAATGGTTGCCTGCTTCCAAAAGAAACTCGTCTGCAGAATAGATCGTTTCACATGTTGAAACAACGCAGCTTGAGTAGGCGGGAGTTTTTCCAATGACCTGCTTCCAGTAGCGAAAAGGCGATGCCTTGCTTCATTCACGCGCCCTACTCCACAACTTCTGCTGCACATCAGTACAACAAATCTGTCAATCTGTTGCATGTGTCTCGACTCAATCACGAAGTGTTCAGGATCCTGTGTGAGAGCCACTAGTGTGTCTGTCAGGTCAGGTAGACTTGTCCATGTTGTCTTCTTTCCACATGCAAGAATATGTTAAGTTGTGTCACAGCCAGTAAGACTGAAGAGGGGTAATGCCAAGGACTTTGATGGACCAAGATGAGAGTACATATCATGGATTGGGATGTCTCTGTACTTTTTACCAGTTCCAAAACCGATCCGGAGCTCTGTTAGACTTAAGGTCTCAAAGAACCTTATTGCCAAAATCACAACATCGCTGTCAACAGTGCGAACATAGGCTGATGTGTGGCCGTGCTCTGCAGTATGTCGGAGATGTAGGATGATTCTTGTGTCAGCCTCGGTATGGTTGCATGGCTGTAGTGTATCCAGGCCACACTGTTGGTTTGAAAGCACATTTTCACAGTGGGTACTCAGAAGGGGCTTTCCATCAATGTCCGTTTTGGAGATCTGACTGGTGATGAATGAGAAAAATTCCCTTTTGGTCTCCTCATTCTTGAGGAAATCACTGTTCCATTCATGTTTTGGTATCAGGGTGCTGCCATCACCAACTCTTGTTCTTGAACTAACCCCACGGTGGTAATGAGTGAGGCCTTTAAGATTATTACTCGCTGGGTAGTTATCCCATACCGCATCAATCCGTTGGGCTCCTTTCTTCATCTGGGCCTCAAGATGTGGAATGACTTGAAGGGACACATAGTCAGAGAATGTTTTTGTTACTGTTGGGCGCAGCTAAAACTTGCTGCCATATCCAAAACCATGTCTGTTGCTAGTTTTGGAGCAGTTGTACGGCCAGTTAGTGCCTTGATACAGTCCAGTATGTCTGATTTTGTTCCAAATCTCAATGACCCTCTGTCAGCTAGGCTTGGTGGTTCCTTTTGATTTTCATACTTGAAAAAGTCGACCAAGTCTGCATCTGGGCGGGACTGCAAAGGAAGGAAGAGCTGTGTCACCAATATCATGTTTTGTTTCTGAACACCAACATCTTTAGGTCCTTTTCTCCGTGGGTCAGGTCGATTTGCAAAGGTCAGCATGTTGTTTCTTTTGATTGTATATGTTACAGACACATATGTCTTCACCAGTCTCTCTTGGACATAATCTGCATGCAGGGCTTTGCCAGCTTCTGAGATTTGTGACAGACTGTTCACGACGGACGGCTCCATGACAGTTTGGGTATCCAGAGCAACAAGCTCCTGACCGGTTGCTAGGAATGGGTTTCCAAGTTGTTCAACTGCATGAACAAAAGATAAATGGTGTCCTTCCTCATGATGAGCTGTTGCCTGGGGTGAAAGGTCATGTGTTGATTCAAACTCCTTTCCCATCCGCACTCAGTCTGGCCCTGCAAGTATATAAAGGGTAAGTGCTTCAGGATTCTCATAAAGGCCAGTTGCTCCACCGTGTTCCTGGAGGGATTTGTTGGACTGTTCATGGGCTTGGTCCTTGGCCATAAGACTGAACTTCTTGGATGATTTCTGAACGACGAAACTGCCCTTCATAAATTCATCATGTATCTCAGGGGTATTCTTGCCAAGTTCAACCATGTCACGTACATGTACTGGAAGCCCATGTGCATAGTTTGTGTGGCCCAATGCGTGAAACCAATCACAAAGTTCGTCACATGATTGTACATAAAGTTCCTTCCCTCAAGGACCTCACAAAACGAGCCATGAGCAGTTCTAGTTCAATGATAGTAGACCAGTATTTGTGGAAAACTTTGAGAACGTTGATGCCACATGTTGAAGGATTCCGGTGGACCCATGACACCCTTGCAATATTCAGAGTATCCATTCTGCTTGAGGATGTTCAGCGATATGAGGGAAACCTGGTGGGCATATCTTGTGCGCTTGATGTGATGCTCATTTAGGGTTGACTTAGCTCGACCAGATGTGAGATCTCTGCTTGAGTTAGTACCGTTGCCCGCACTGAGTCACGTAGCAGCTTCCCTAGCATTATATGCATCTTGTCTTCGATGTGCAATGCCCCCATCATAGCAACAAGCTTGTCTTCACCGTAAGCATCTGGGAACTGCCATTGGAGGAGTTTGATAATGGCATATGGTGGCTGATCTGCTCCAAGTACTGTGGTCTGGCCCGGGTTTAAGAACTGGGTACCCCCGCATAGACAAATGCATAGCATGTTTCATAGAAGATGCAGATGCTGCTTTATCCGGGAAGTGAGGGTATATGCCAATCTCTGCTGAAGGTTTCACAGATCTGTCACTTGCAAGAGACGAGTTGTACCCTGCCCAGGTGATGATGTCACCCTCTTCTACTGGACCCTTGTTCAATACCTCTGAGACGTGTGTAATCCATGCCTGATCCTTCTCCATTGAATCCTCTACAACGAGACTTGGTCGGACTTGGTTTGTATTAGATTTTGGAGCATAGATATCTGTCTCAGAGAGTTCCACTGGTTGTTGAATCGTATAAGAGTCCGGCAACTATGTACTACTTCCCATTATGATCGTACAACTTATTGCACTTAAGTAAAACATCAGAGCATGACTTGAACAATGTTATAGTTTTTTCTCTCTAAAATTACATTTTCTTAATAAATCGATAAGAAACTTTAAAAAAAACGTTCTTAGAAAAAGAAAGAGGACATTTTTGTATTTCTTCGTTTTTTTATTGACTTTTTGATGTTTTTGATCCACCCTCTAGATCTTATTTTTCATCTAACTTCTTTAATATCATTCACACAAATTTCATTTATATATCATTGTAAAGCTCTTTTTATTGAAATACAATATGATTTATGTACAATTTATGACAATTTATTACTAAAAATGGCCATCTTGGAGCCCGTCAGAAATCAACTTTGTATGTCTTAAGCTACCTCTGTGCCAAATTTGGTGCTTTTGGAAGAATCTGAACCAAAATATCCCTATGACCCCTGACTAGACGGACTTTGTTTCGTTTTGTGATTGCAACATTGGGTTAAAAATGTCGAATATGTCATAACGCCACGAAATGTGAATACTGTAACTTATCAACGTAATATTCATATCCTAAAAAGGTGGCATTGATGAAGTGTATAATTGGTAAATGTCTTGCCTATAGAAAACTATAAAACCTTTCATGACCAAGAAGTTTATAAATTAAATCCGACACCTGACGATTTATCTGGACAAGTGGCAAAGGCCCAAACCAGTCATTTTCTTTGGCTGCATTCATCTACAGCAACACTCCCTTTTGATGGCATCAAAGTTTCAGAGGGTGGGTTGTGATTAAGATAGTAGGGGAAAGTGCCAAATATATTCCTACTACGTACAGTCTGGTTCAAGAGAGAACAAGCAGTTGTAACTAAGGTGACATAATCTCCCGCCGCAAATTATCAAATCAACCTTAAAGAGTAATGAAAGTGAAGGTCGTAGTTTAAGATGAAGTTAAATGTCAACAAAAACATGACCAGTCAACCTCTCTTGATATCTTGCTGAGTAGCTGTTCAAACACACAAATATTTTCAAGACTCACTTTGACCTTGACATGAATGTCATGGTGTATGAAATATGCAAAGAAATAGTAATAGAGAAATTGAATTATCAAAAAACATTCAAGAGAAGTCTTGAAAGTCCATGAAGAAAATCCAGTGAACCGTTCTTGAGATATCTTGCTGACAATCTTAACATACTAAAATCCTCAAAATGTCGCTGTGACTTTGAAAATTACGTGAAGGTCACCCAAATCGTCTAGGCCCTGCGCCTTCCCGATATGAAGCTTGGTCTTAACATGAAGAAAATCCAGTACGGTTCTTGAGATATCTCGCTGACATTAAGGGTAAAACGTTAAAGTCCCCTTGTGATCTTGAAATGAAGGTCAAGGCAACCAAACCTGACTGGGAACTTTTCTCATACTGTGATGAACCTAGGTACCAAGTATGAAAAGAATCTAGTTAATGGTTCTTAAGATATTCCAATTCGTACGGACGGACGGAGCCTAATAATATCCCCCGCTTCGCGCTAAACGCGCGGCGGGGGATAACAAAAAAGTAAGCAGTGCTGACATTGTATGTTAAGAATATTATATGTGCCCAAAGAGACACATTAATTGAATACACATAGTTTGGCAGACTGGACGAGCTAAACATATAATGCTCCTGTCTCAACAAAACAAATAAATTAGGGATGTGAAAAATATAGCATGGTTTTATTGCCTTAGGGGCAGCATAATGTCAAACGGCAACGGTATCCAGAAGATGTTGGACGGCTGACCTGAAAGTTTTGGATTCGACGCCTTTCTTCTAGAAGGGCCTGTACTGACTTATCTCATTTATTAGGCGTACGAACATTGACGGTCAACAAGGAGATCTCACAACTTTTCTACACGGTTGTGTTGCCTGTCCAATGCAAACAGTTCACGTGAAGGGCTATATGACAATTCTTTAAATCTGCATCTGGCAGAAACATGGTTCTGTTGCACTATCGGCAGTAGGACAGGGCAAAGAACTTGGTCAGTGTAACGCTATTGAAGGATATGTCATTTAAACACATTGGATTTGTTATGAATTGGCCAGATCTTGGCGAACAATATTAAGAACTACAAGTAACTACGATTAAAGCTCTAAAAAGTCCTCGATCTTCTTGGTAAATACTGAACGCCGACATTTAGATGGAATATTGCTGCGTGCGGCATAACATAACAAACCCAACGAAAGAACACTGCATTGCTTCTGTTTTATAGACGACTGGACCGACCGTTAACTTTGTCAGGTCCTCTGAGGTACCTTTGCGAAAGCCACGTTCGCACTGCTGGCGTCCATATTTAGCCAATGATGTACCCCTTGTGTGTTAGCTATTTCTGGACGCCATCGGAAGGGCACTGGAAAATGTGAAAGAAAAATTTAAGATTACAACATATCTGCCATATTACATAATACCTGTCAAGGGCCTCACTCCTTATCTTCTTTATTGGCGCAACAAATGATTTTGATGACCAAAATGCACACCCCCCAGCAAAACTAATGGGACACCCCCCACCCCCCACCCCCCTGGTACATTTCCCCTATTTGGTTTGAAGTGGAAGTGATGTGGGTTATATGTCATTTAACAGCATGGTCTAGACAGTTTAAGCATCTGCCTTTGAAAAACCTTCTAAATTACATATTTAAAACAATATCTTCTCCGGGCTTTTCAAAAGTTCTTTTATGTCTAAGCATCCCGGGTCCACAAAATAATCAATGTATTGGTTTTCACTTAAAAGGTCAAGCTATCAAAGTTAGCAGAGCTTATTTTATCTTACGAAGACATGTTTGCTTATCAGGACCGTGAAAAGGTTATATAATTACCCAGAGGAATATCGCAAGGCCGTCCGACTTGCTAATTGATTGTTACAACCAAACTGGGACAAACATAAGTATTACACGTCTTTGGAACTGTCTGGGAGGAGTAAGGTGCCTGTCACAAAACGTGTAATTTATCTTATGGCTAATGGCCGTTGTCTCCTAGTGGTTAGATGTCAGTCCAGATGCGAGACATAAACTAGTCTGCATCTTTGGAGATGGCATACCATACCCCAAATAGCGCTCTAGTCAATTTGTGACTTCCTTTCCGACCAAGCGACGCTTTTGTACATTAGAATGAAGTAGAAGGCAAACCAATAAGTGGCAAAACCGACCTTTTGGCTATAAATCATCATATTACGTTGCTACTATTTGCAGTGTGGGACAGACTATAGACAAAACCAATCCGGTGCCCATGTGGGCTGTATATCGTGTACAGGGTCCGGAGCAAGAAATCGAAGAGTTTTCTTTCAACTTTCAGTTTGTGGACATTTAATTGAAATAGCCGTCTGTGAACTGGCCCAAGGACGATGCTCGATGAGCTGGTAGATGACTAATAAATGGATAGTAAACCTAAACACTATTACAACGTCTGAACCTGACGTTACTGTAGACATACCTCAAACGTGTCTTCAGATGAGTATATACGTGTTGCTGTCGCCTGACTTTGCAGTTTCTGAAGCAATGCCAACGGTGTCAATTTATAGACAATGTCAAGGTGACAACTGACCACATGTGCACACACCAATATAGACATTCTTTGACACCAATATGTTCAGCTAATATAAGTGTACATTGTTCCAAGTGAGTAATAACTAGGTACACACAGACAGGTTAGCCTAAATCCCAAGGCTGACTCAAGATTCGTTGTAACAGGTAGGAGTGGCCCTTCCGTGTATGATTTAGGGAGTGTAGACAGTGAGTAAATAAGACATCAATGTTAATATCAAGCTCACAGCATAGATTGCCCCAAGACAATTTTATCAAGCATTCATTGAATATAACTACAAGTGGGACTGAAAAAAGGATTTGAAAACCTCTGATGATGCAAGAAACGGTTGGAGTGTGATGAACTAGCCACTGCTCTATCATCAAAATATCAAAGGTAAATCACTTGGACGTTTGTTTTCTATGGTACTAGTATTTGCTTCTTACGATTAGAACGTGAACAGGTATCATATTATTCCATTTGGACACAATTCTAACACCTTGTTAACAATGAAAACCTTGATCGATCAAAACCATTGCATAAAACGTACAGGATTGGATAATAAATTAGAGGTATAGCACACGGTTGTATCCAGCGATATATATATATACATATATATATATATATATATATATATATATATATATATATATATATATATATATATACAACATTTAAATATTCACCAAAGGCGACAAAGAAAGAGAGCACTGTAAGACGAGGTATCGAGCCATTATATCTCTGTGATTCAAGCCACCGACAACGCATAGCTTCAACGTTAATTAAAGGTTAAAGCAGTTGGAAGATTCAGCCGTGTATGTGGGTCTAGGATCTGTAATTCTGAAAAAAGAGACAGAAAATGCCCAAATCGAATGATACCGTCATATTCGGACACGGATTTCGACCGTTACTACCCTTTATGAAGTGTGCTTAAAGATTATAAAAAAATACAAACTTTCATGTTTAAACACATAAAGTTCCTCTTCAGTCGAATTTAAAAAAGGTTGCTAATGCTTTTTGCTACTCACGTTTCGTTTCGTTTGTGATCATGGTAATTGGATTTGACGTTTGGTGAGTGTATACCAGAATGAAATACAATTGGGATGTTCTTTGGCAATGAGGTGTAAGTTATAAGCCTGAAAATACCTTATTGAAGGTGCTTGTAACCAGTTAAGTAATGACACTGTTTTATAAGGCCATGTAAATAATAACATAAAACTATTATATTTTGTGTGATAAATGTCTTGATAATATGTAACCAATATTGATTTGATTAATGAATCTTAAACCGTGATCAGGTTCGTCAAATTAGCGAATCTACTATATTTTATACATCATTCAAACCGGTCACGCAGTTTGAAGTTAAATTACTTGAACAACATTCCCAAAATAAACTCTTCAAAAGAATACTTCTGCCAAGTACACC